GAGTGTAAACACGTCTATTTTTCATAGTTAACCATTTGGTTTCCTTAAGTTTATTTGAAATTCTACCATATTTTCTAATACCATATATATACCTTGGACATGATTTTTGAACTCTTTCAATTCTACAAATGTCTTTTTTATCCCGACATGAACCGTACACAACATCACAATATGTAAAATGACTCAACACAAGCGCATTTGTTAATTTTATTTTCAAACTTATTGATAGTAAATGACGATGAGGATAAAGCATTTTCAAACTCATGTAACTTCTGTGAACACATTTTATGACATGTTTTGTAAACCTTAAATTCACGTCCATTTCGATATCAAAATTTTTTGCCACGTTCCTGGGGCATATTACTATATCACCAATAACAATATTGTTATATCTTTCCACCAAGCTACGATTAGTACCAAAAACAAGCAGATTAGTTTTGTTTGAATTGATTTTGAGGTTATGAGCTTCAGATGCTGAAATGAGACGAGCTAGATCTTCATTCAATTTTCGATTAGCAGTAGCAACGTCATTAGAGTTATATGATATAGTTGTGTGTCATCCGTATAGATACGTGAATTACAATGTCTTAAAACAGAAACTAGATCACAAGTGTATATGCAAAATAACCCTCATGTCATGCCAGCAAACCCTCATGTCACACACGGTGAATGGCTGTAAGAATAGAGTATGCTATTTACATTTTGGTAATACTCTTTCTTAGCTCTTAGAAGAGTACAGTTTTTGCGGTACTTTGCCTTTGGATGGTTTTCGAAAATAAATTTCTCGGTCTAGTGTCCCTTCTATTATTTTTCCCGCATCTTACCTTTGTGAAACATTTTTGAATATGCAGTAATGGTTCAGATTAGAAGTAGATTTATATCTATATGTTTTTTCTTTTTCCGTTTATGAATATCCACTATATAAATCAAAAATCAACACTTAATAATAATTGTTGAGCCTGTATGGCATTTTTTTGACCATTCTGTAGAGAGAAAATGTACAACAAACATACAGATTTCTATTTGATTTTTTTAAACTTCTGGTTTCATGATTTTCCCTTTGAACAAAACATTGGTAGATTCGTGCTGTTTCGTTTGGATGATAAACACAAAGGGGGCGTCTGCAATAAAATTTTCAATCACAGGAGGAGGAAAAAATGCACAACAAGGTACTGCCATAACCATATCTGAAAAAAAAGGAAAACAATAAAATTCTATTGAGTAGCACCACATATATTAACTCTTTGAATCTATCATCAAAACATACCAAAACATAATTTTCACTGATTTTTAATTAAATTATTGGGTCCACATAAGACATCTAAGAGACATATTGAAACTAAGCCAGATGAAACAAAAACAAAGTCTAGTCGGTCATTTTCAAATACCGTTGAGGTTTTTTATGCTTTTTGTGAGTGAGGGTTATTCATTTTACCTATTCATCAATTACTCATGTCTATAATAAACACAATAAAACATCATTCTCACTAATTCACAATTAAATAATGCAAAACCTAAAAACTCCAAAACAATAAACATAAACTATGTTTATCATTCAGTTATTCAGATCATATGTTAGCTATTTGACTAACCACTCATGCTCTAGCAATTCAGCAAGATTCACAAGAAAAGGTACTACAAAGCAGAACAGTTTGGAGATTGAGTGAAGGCCATCAAGGTTGAATGAATCGGCAGGAGAGGACCTACGAAGTGACCACAACAGTCACCTGATTTAATTTCTTGAAGATGATGTTGCAGCTTTAAATTTTCCTGTAGAAGTGAAGAAGAGCAACTGGGTTGAAAACCACCTCCTTATTTCATTTATGTAATATGTATATTGAACATTATTTTTATTATTTATATAAAGAAAAAGGAGGTTGAGGTAGAGGTGATTATACAATTGTTATACAAATTGTTCATTTTTCACACAGTGAGGATATTGCTAGTTATTATGTTGCTTTTAATTGATTGTTAATGCAATACAAGTTACTAATATTCAATACAATTCAATAAATCTCAAAAACTTGCAGTTTTCCATTTAAACTTCTGGTTTAATGATTTTTCCTTTGAACAAACAATAGATTCGTGATGTATTGACTGAATGACAGCACTGAAGGGGTGGTGTGCAACGAACTATTCAACTGAAGGTTCCCTATAACCTGGATAACAACCCTCTGAAAGAAAGGAAAACAATCAGATGCTGGTCACTCTTAATTCGTGCTCTGTAAATCAGCAGGACAAAAAAAGAAATCTAGCTTTGGAACATAAGCATTAACCCCTTTTGAATAAGAGTTTGCATTGATTTGAACTCTGAGTGATAAAAAGTACCGAATCAGATAATTCAGATATATATTTAACAACTGTCGCCTCCACACGAGCGACAACCCTAAAAAACAGAAACTTGTGCGAGCCGAACATGAAAAGGGTCTTACCTTTAAACGTGCGACTCCTAGCGTATTGAAAGATCTTATAGACCACGTCTTGCAATCATTATTGAATAATCGATAATTAAGTCTTCAAACAAAAAACTGTATATGAAAATGAATCGGTTTAAAATCAATTTTTCCGTTAACCAGCTGTCGCACCCCTACGAACGACAACCCTCAGAAGTCGAAACTTGTGCGAGTTAAGGATTAACGAAGTATTACCTCTTAACTGTGATTCCTAACATGAAGATATGAAATACACAGGGTGTTCCAAATTGAGTTCGATTACCAACTCCGTTATTATTGATGCTGTGAATTCGGTTAATGGGCAAACTAGTAGCATTTTTAATGGCCTTCTCGATGAAGAATACAAAATTGACAGTCGCGTTTTCAAAATATTTCTTAAAATGATATATTTTTAAATGGAACATCCTATATTTTGTCATGCATTTCAATTTATAATAACATTCTCAACAACAAAGGTCATATCACTTTTCATCCTAAAGTTGAAAATGAGCGACTTATATGGAAAAAATGTCTTCGTTTTGGAGAATAAAATGCAATAAAATATCAAGTCAATATTTAAAAACACCGCCTTATTGTTGAACACATATTTGGGTTCTTTTCATAACACTACGTATTGTTTTCAACACAATTCGGCCATCATTTCTATTAATTATAGTTTCAATATATTATTTCAGTTGATCTACATTATTATGTTTTAATAAATTGATGGATGTAGCCGTTACTACGTGGTAGGAAATCATCATGATAAATGAGAATTGAAACTTTCTGTTTTATACCACTTTTATGTGTATCGAACGTTACTGCAGTTTCGTCCTAAAAGCACATTTTAAAGCTTATACATTAAACTGAAATTGATTCATTACATTAGCCCTTATATAACACCACCGTAGGTAATAAAAGAGGTACTTAACTTAATGAAAGTAACCTGTAGTAGAAGTAACCTGTATTGTGAATAGTTAAAGCTGTCGGAGAGTTCGAAGGAAATGGTGCCGCTGCCAACTAGTCCACGTAGACTGAATAATGTGCGGTTCGCATTGAATAATTAGTACTAGCAGAGTTTTATGATTGGCTCAGTTCAGGAACTGATCGCGATTTGAGTGTTGGAATTCGATATTGGTGCAGTTATAATTACTTGAAATTTTTGTTATCTGTACTAAAAGTAATAATGAGATTGATACCAACGTAGGCTTTTTCTTGTTTGATGATTCCAATAGCGATGATGAACAATGCGAAAACGAGATACCAGTGAATAAGATTCGGATGCATTTGAATATTGAAACAGAGAGAGTATGTTTCAGTGTATATAAGAATCTACATCTCAAGTTTGGTTTCGAGAGAAACCAAACTTGAGCACAAACAACATCAGATTTGACTGAAATTCCTTTCTCAACTGCACGTAAAATAGTCAAAAACAAACCTTATGAACGCAAGACGCGATGTGATACAGGATTACCAAAACCTTCAGATGTTCATCTAATAAAATCGTTGAAAAAAAAACAATATACGACTGTTACAAAAGCAATGAAATTCCTACAACTGAAATCATAAGAAAGAAATTGACTACTTCCGGCCATAACGTGAGCCGCTGTGACAAAACTCTTCATGATTGGATAAAAAAACTAAGATTTAGAATTTAAATTATAAACAAACATCAAGCAGTTATGGAAAGCAGAAGAATAGTGGAATTGCGTAACAAATTCTTAAAACAAATAACTAAATATAGACAAGAACAACGGCAAATTTTCTATTTGGACGAAACTTGGTATGACACGACACAGTTACGAAAGGGTGGACTGATG